TCTGCCCTGATTTCTTCTCTTTTGTATAGCATCATATAGTAGTAATTGCTATTAGCCAATCTCAATAAAGGCTAGTCATGGTCTTCCTGTGATGTCTATTTCCTCGTTTGATTTTCCTTAACAATTGTGGCACTAATATAGCTATGTCCAGATGATGGAAGAGTTTTAAACAAAGATTCCATGTGAGGGAAGGATCTTATTGCCTTTGGATACAAAGGGAATTTGAAAGCCTTAAATTAGTATTAGTTCTTTAAGTCTGTGGACACACAATAGTACTAAGTTAATTACCTCCTATTTTAATTCATTTTATAAGTCATTCAGAATTTTTAATTGAGAAATTAAGATACAAAACAATAAATGGTATTTTCATATGAAGAGTAAACTTTGTTCTGTAATCTATAACTAACAATGATATGAAAATACATAGACAGAACGTTGCTTGCCATTAAAAGGGAACTTTAATTATGATCTGATACATTTTGAAATCTAAAGTACACGTGTCATGCAATTACCATTAAACAATCTATTTTCTGAGGTTAGCTAGTTTATGCGTTTCTGAAGAAATCTTATTAATGAACGTGAATACAGAGGCAAATTTCAAGGGTTGCAAGTTCTATAGAATTCTGTATGTACTCAGTAAAATAAACGAACAGGCATGCCATCTGTAATCATGTTTTATTGCACTGAAATTTCATTGCATCACTCATTTGCTGTTCAGAAATATATTCCTCTATGAAGAATCAGAAGATAATGAACAGTCATGAAACTAAATTCCAATAACCAACAAATGTATTTTTCATATTTTAATGATACGTATTAAATACATTTTCTCTTAAGAGTTTTGTTTGTTCAACATTGGTAATTGTTTTATTTACATCCAATCTTTCTTCTCTGATGAAATTCAATTTTCCACAAGATTCCCAAGTAGTTTCCAATGCAGATACTTATCAGATCAGGACAATGTTCTGCCTATATTAGAAGTATTGAGCATACCGCCTTCCACTATCCAGTACAAAAAAAATATTTTGTTTTCTGATCACCATTGCAATTCTAACAGTTCTCCATTAGCAAAAGTACCTTTCCTAAATACCAATGTATAATGTATGACTGTTTTCAGAAATAGGAAATTGAAAACTTATTTATAAAATGTACTTTATTTATGTTTTTATCAAAAAGGAAAAACAGATATATTGTTTTATGAAAGCTGTCATAGTGTATTGATTATGGTTCGTTTACGAAGTTCTTCTACATACTCCTTAGCTTGATCGAATCCAGTCTTTGCAGGTGCTGGAGGTGGAGGTGGTCCTTCAACTAACCTCACAAAGTAATGACATTTGACTTTGTCCATAACCCCAAAACAGCCTTTGCCATGGTAGCGGATTCTTTTTATATAGTGTCCTTTTCCAGAAAATGATTCAGCTAGAGAATATCAAAGGAAAAACCTGGTTACCACAGAGATCCAAAGAAACACTTAGTAGAACAGTCAGTTCAACAGTTCATTATCCGTTTAATGCATCTCAAAGAAAAGAGAAAATGGTTCGGTCTTCTAAGATAATCAAGCCAAATGCATAAAAAGACTGGACGAATACATTTTAAAACATGTGACAGCTGCTATCCTTCATTCTGAACTAGCAGGGCTATTTTTAAAAAAGATTTTTCTTTTTTGTCTTCATCAGCTACCTCTGACTACCGCTGTTGTGCCAAGAGTGTTGCTACTTCTGGAAACTTGTCTCACATCAGTGACTCATCTTGACCCCATTCAAAATTCTATATAAAGCATTAAACAAGGAAACACAATAAAAGTATAAAATAAAAATATTAAAGGTAAGATGTGTAGCTAAGCACCTTCTAATGTGATAAACAATCTGTCAGATCTTACTTATACTATGCATCAGTGTTTCTTAAACCCCTTTCTCTGTTCTTGTTCTCTTTGCTCAACAACTATGGGAAAAAAGGTCGTAAAATTGGTAATGATTCACTTAACCATCTTGCTTAGCAATGGAAATTGTGGTCCCAACTGTAAGTTGAGGATTATCTATAAATTATAAATTACATTACATTCTGCTTTTTTTTGAGAAAGTTTCATACAATTATAAAGTATTTACCAATGTATAAATTGGATTTAAATTCTACATTATATTTTGTCACTGCTAGTTCCTGGGCTTCCAGAAGAACCTATTATGAAAAAGGGGGAAAAATGTAATAAAGTCACAGAGATCATGAACATTTTCAATTTAAGAGCTTTAAAGCTCTACAAAGAGAAACAAAGGAATATTTGAATCTTAGCATGTTGAAAATCCTATGCTCTTCATAGCAGAAGCTTCTGTATTCTAATTAATTGGATTTTTATTCCATGAGCCTTACTACCAGATCACTGAGCAGAGCATTCATTGCCTTAGTTAACTTTTAGAAGTTCAAACAGGTCCATGTCCCAGAGAAGCAGAAGCTGGTGGTATTCTCCAACTTGAGGATATGTAGGTATCTATGTTCAGCTAGGTTGGCAGGAGCTGGGGCAAGTAATGGGAGCTCACCCCATCGCATGGCACTCTGGTTTTGAACCTGGGCTGTGGGCTTTCCAGCTGACAAGTTCAGCATCTAAACTGCTGAGCCTGCCAACCTAGCAGTTCAAAAGCATGCAAATGCGAGTAGATAAATAGATACCACTTCGGTGGGAAGATTACTGCATTCTATATTTTCATGCTGGCCTCAGGATGATATAAGCGTCTTTCAGACAATCATCCAGTCCCAACATCCTTAAGATGGAGAGTGTTTTAATTAAATTCCATTCCCCAACAATATTGAGCTGGAGTCCATTCCACCTTTATATTAACCATCACAATTTTTTTTCTAAGACTCATTTCTATCTTACCTCAATTTCCCTTTTCTGTCAAAACATAGTCAAGATATATTTTTTCTAAAAAACTGTTTAGTAAACTTTCTTTAACTTTCTTGCATTAGCATTTTTTATTCTTCTGCTTCCTAACTCCTGGGACCCATTCCCTGCTTTCACCTTCTATATATCAAGTTTAACCACAGCCAAATGGTCATATTTTCTAAAGTATAAAATCAATCCACATAATATACATATAAAATCTCTGCATATACTGAGTAATAAATTTCAGCAAAGCTCTCAAATAAATGGGATTAACCAAAATTGGAAACACATTTTGAAGAAAACTGTAACATACCTCTTTGATTATTTTTGCTCCCTTTTTATCATTGAATTCCATCTGTGCCAATGCCTCATCAATGCCCATTCCCCGTATCTGAAATGGAAGGAAATAATATTTTGTGCAAAAAAGTCTCAAAATGATTACAATGGCAAACATATTTTGACATAAAAGAGCAATACATATTTTGACATAAAAGAGCAAGTGAAACTGGAAATTGTCACTATGCAACGCAGTTGTAAAGCGAAACATAACATGACCATGTCCAACTTATGACATCAGTTCTAACTGTGGTTAAGCAAATCACTGCAGTTGTTAAGTGTGATGCCACCATGAAGCCAGCTATGAAAGTCACAAATGACAATCATGTGACTGGAGGACACTGCGACCAAAATAAATGTGTGCAAATTGTCAAGCACCCAAATCATGATCAGGTGGCCCTGGGGACACTGTGACCAGTGCAAGTTCGAGAACAAGTCGTAAGTCTCCTTTTTCAGCGGTTGTAACTTCAAATAGCCACTGAATAAGCAATCAGTAAGCAATGATTACTTGTATCACATTGGTTCTTATTTATTGCTTTGAGGTCTGAGTAAAACACTGAAGTAGCGTAACTATAAGCTGATGACACAGGAAAAGCTATCAGGATCATATAAACATGTATCTAAGAAATCTACCAAAACAGCTCTTACCAATTTGGCCAGGTACCACATCTTATCCTTGTTATATTTGATATCTCGTCGACTGTGGTATATTTCCTTTAAAAAAGAAATGTTTATTACATAAAAGTAGCAACGTAAAATGGTTATAGCAACTTATCCCCAAATGAATGCATCCATATTTGAGCACAGAAGAGACAGAGCCAAGATCATTCAAGACTCAAACCCCAAATGTAACTTTTTGAATCAAATTGTTTTATAGTACATATCAGCAACAAACCACAGCCCTAGAGCATCCTCTAACATCTCAGACACTACACATTACAGTTTTATTTTTAATTAGTTTAATTTTAATTACAGTTTAAAAAATAAAAGTCAGCTGAATCTCATAGGATTTCTAGGCAAGACTGCTGAAATCTCATGAGAAGTGATTAAGCACTCACCTAAGATCACAGGCCGATCAATTTTATACACTAGTCCATCTACCTGAATACTATCTAGTTAGAAGAAGCTGTCAGGTATCTTAAGAAAATCCTGACATTGTGGCTGATATTATTTTATATAAACCATTAGCATGGTATATTGAAGCAGTTAAATTTTAACAGTTTTATAGGAGATATGGGAATTAACTTGACCAGAGTCCATTCAACTATGCCATTGACATTCTTCTCTATTACCATTACGTCTTCCATCTGATCTTACTTTTCCCTTCCGGGTATTCTCAGTTGATCACTGGAAGAGAAAGGCTCAGTTGCTAATGAAATAAAATGCATTACCTTAAAGTTTGCACCTTCCCAAAAATGAGTGCTATTGGCCTATTGCAGTGATGAGTACTAGAATGGTTCTGAAAGAAGACATGGAAGTCTTCTATGGTTTTTCATAATCTATCTCACCCCAAAGATGCCAAAGAACTACAAGGAGTTATTTGTATACAAATTATTTGTATATATATATTAGGCCTATGAGTTTAATCCAAATGAGATGCTATAAAATGATCAACATTTATTTCATTACATTTATTATAACTGCTGTCTTCCAACAAACATGCTCACTATGTCACTATGGGCCACATCCACCATAAATACAGCAACCAAGGTCAGATTATTTAATGCCATTGCCATACCAACTGCCATCTATGCTAGTGAGGCCTTGACATCTAGAAGAATTATTGATAAGATCGACATCTTCCAGTAGCGTTGTCTCAGAAGGATTCTTCGTATCTCATATAGGGACCATGTCACAAACAAGAAAATTCTACAAAGAAGTAATTCCTGAAGACTCTCTGAGATGGTGATAGAATGAAGAATCCGCTTTGTTGGACATGTGCTCCGCATAAGTGAGAATGTCCAGCAAAGACAGCAATCAATTGGATACCACCAGATTGTCAGAGAAAAAGAGGAAGGCCAAAGAAAACCTGGCACCAAACATTTCAGGAAGATCTGAAAAACATCAATCTTAAATGGAAGGATGTGGAGGTTGTAGCTATGGACTGAGAACTGTGGGATATGCTTGCAGCCCAATGTTTTGCACAGGACATGATGATGATTATAGCTGCCAACTCCAACACAGATCTCAAAAACTACTCCTCATAAAATTAGGACTTACTGCTGGTCTTCGAGGTTCATCTGGCCCTTGTGGAGGATAGGTGATGTTGTTCTTTTTTTCCCACCTTGTACTGTACCCGAAAGATCTGCATGTATTTGATAGAAGAGGAATGCTGGAAGATGCCAGGACCCTACAAGACAAGGTTTTATCATTTTACAAAAGCTAAATCCTATCACTGGTTCTGGTTGCAATATACATAAAGGAGAATATTTGTAGCTCAGGGTTGAAATGAAGGGTCCTTGGTGCTCTCTGAGCTTGGTTGTTTTCTTGCAGACATTTCATTACCCACTGATGATGCTATCTGTTTTGGATAATGAAATGCCTGCAAAAAAACAACCAAGCTCAGAGAGCACCAAGAACACCTCACCGATTGCAACAATTATTATGATATTGAATGTTAAATTCATCGCAAAGAAACTATATTTATTCTAATTCCGTAACCTAATACACAATAGGATGTGGAATGTTCATTTTAGGCCAACCTCAACTGCACTGCAAAACAATATATCCACAAATATAACTATTTATTAATATCTTGCATTTATGTATAATCTAACCATATGGAAACAACAAACAATTCTTTGGTGCAAAGTGAAGTAGATACACATGAGCCTAAACTCAAGTACTGTTAAAATACAGGATTTTCAGTGACAGCTGTCACTTTCACCCATTAAAAAGTAGCTTACTGTAGATCAGAAAGGGATCCATAACAACCAGCCATTTTTTTCAATCAACAACTCATATTTATGTTACGCCATAAATTGTGGTTTAAAATTGCACTGGCTGAATTGGTATATAATAGTAAGCAAAAAGCAAAGCATATGACTTAATACAATGTGTGAATCTAGCCAAAGAGATCATTATTACTATTACTTTTATCAGTCATTCTTGGATTCTCTCATTTTATACTTATTATATTCCATTCTTCCTTCCATAGTTTTCAGTTTGTTCTTTTTAACTGTTTAGTTTGGGGCTGGCCATCCAGTTTTTAATCCTTACATTCATTCATTTGTATCGCATACGCACTTTAGGAATATTTCATCATACATAAACTTTCTTTAGTGTAAATAGTGCACATTTGATTGTATATATGTAACAAAAACAAGTATTGTTTTAAAGGAACTCATGTCTACTGTTATTTAATAATTTGAGTATGAAATTACATTAGGCACATATCTAGTGCCCTTGAAATCTCTTTTTGAAATATTATATGATAATATTTGATTCCAATTATTTAAAAAGTGTAGAATATCAGAGCTACTGAAAAATTCCTCACATTCATAAGAAGCAGTCAGCTGGCTACTGTCTAAGAAAGGTAAATCCTCTTAGGTTCTAGAATTTCTGTATGTATCTTTAGATCTTCTCTACTGGCTCTATACCAACTCTTAAATTTCATGGAAAGAAAGTTTTCCTTCAGTAACCTATTCTGTAAAGCAAATACCTTATGCTTTACAGGGTGTTCCAGTGCCATCTAGTGATCATAAATATATATTGCTTTCATACTATCAGAGAATGTGAGAACACTCAAAAGCTAATCAATTTGAATTAATATCTATTCATTCAGCAACTCTTCAAAGTTACAAAAGGGCTGAAAAAATGAGCTTGTGACCAGTCCTTGTATAACTGTTGTGTACAACCCCTGCAGTCACATAAAAATTTGGGCCAGCCTGCATTTACAACTGCTTCCCTGCAGCCATGCCCCTAGCTGACCTACATTGTGCCTTCACCTGCTTTCTCTCTGCTGGGCTCACCATCCTGGCCACAAGCAGGAGAGCATCCCATGTTTTTATTAAAATACATGAAAAATAATTGCTACTTCATTTGTATTATTTCTGATGTTTAAAACAAAACATTTTTATAGTTCCCTATTTTACCTATTGTGCTTAATGTTAAGTCCAGTGTTGCATGGAATTTGTGAAGAAAAGCATCTGGCTATAACAAGGGTCTTCAAACTTGGTCCTTTTATGATTTGTGGACTTCAACTCCCAGAATTCCTCAGCCAGCGTGCCTGGCTGAGGAATTCTGGGAGTTGAAGTCCACAAGTCATAAAAGGACCAAGTTTGAAGACCACTGGGCTATAACTACCACAGGACTATTCAAATTTGGGAGATTTTGTATTACCAATGTCTCATAGCAATATTAGCAAAGATCAATTTGTCAATTATTATTTTAACTACAGGAAGAAGTCACCAAAGAAACATTGTCCCTACTGTTATATCACAGATTTTTCAGGCCAGATTACCTAGTAGCTCCTCATCTGTCTAAGACAGATAGAAAATGCAATAAGAGAGAACATGGACCATGATGCTATAAATGGCCCAGTCCTCTGCATTTGACAAGTCATATTTTCTAAAATCTAGTGACTGCCAAAACCAATTGAATTTGGAAGATATGTTGTTGCCCTCACTTAAAACTAATGAACTATCTGGCTCCATAAATATTGTTTCCTGTTGCTCCATTTCTAAAGATGTGGGAATAAACATTTTGAAAATGGTTGTAATATTGAAATCAGAAGGGGTTTTTTTTTAGGATAGCAGATAAACAGATGGAGAAAAAACATGGGACTTTGTTTTTACGTATGACAATGGTGGTGAGGTTGTTATAGGCCCAAAGATGGAAAGAATATATATCTACAATGGAAGAATGGACTTTGAAATTAAATGGAACTAGCTGAAATGGCAAAATTGACTGCTTTGCTTAGAGACAATAATTTGATTAAATATGACCTGGAGGCCATTGATAAATTTCTTAAAGGAAAAATAATCATTTTTTTTATTTTGGAATTTGAAGTTTGGATTAGATTTGACTAGAGAAATATTGTAGCTTTTTAAATATAAACATACTTGCATTTGATAACTTATTTTTTATATGAAATTAAGAGAACATTTTAGGAATGCGGGTTTTTAGTAAGTTGACTATTAGTATTTTAAGATATTTAACAGATTGGTGTTATTTCTTTAACTCTAGAGAGAGGTATGTCTGTACTAAAAGAAAGTCAGAGGTCACCTTTGTATTTGTTAGATGCATTTTTTGGCATCTATTTTCTATTATGTTAGTTTGTATTTTAATGCAGGGGTCCCCAATGCCTGGTCCGTAGACAGGTACCAGGCCGCGGCATGCCAGCCACTGAGCCGCAGAAACAAGCAAAGCCCCATCCGTGGGATGCAGGCAACACACAAAACCATGTACTCTCCGATCCGTGGAAAAACCTTTCTCCACGGAACCAGTCCCTGGTGCCCAAAAGGTTGGGGACCTCTATTTTAATGTATGATGTTGAAACTTAATAAAGATATTATATAAAAAAACTTATTGTTGTATATCCTGACACTAGTTCCAAACAGGGATTTTTATTGGAAGTCAAGTGGGAGCAAAGAATCATGTTTTTTCTACTGCCATTCCTTCAGGAAAGTAGAATTCAGAGAAAAAAAATTCTAATCAACTATATAGTGGATTCTTGCAATTTGAAAATTGTGGTACACTATGTCATCTTTACAAAATACTATTTATGACGTTTTTTTAAATGTATTGTAGCTTATATTAAATTTAATCCATGCCAATTTGATACCAAGGACAAAAAGGAGATTGAACATAATCTATTTTAATTCATTTGTTAGTGTGATTTCAATATGCAATTTGAAAATGCATGGAGTTGTGAATCCCTCTTAATCATTCTTTGTTACTAGGAATTTTGCAGCACCTTAAAGGATATCAAATGCATTATAATAGCCATTGGAAATACTGGTTCAATATGCTGGAATATGATGTCCCACACAACTTGAGGGCATGATGTGGAGGCCATTTGTATTATGCATTTGCATTTCATTTGTAATTTGTAATCCATTTTGACAACTTTACAGATACAGAGAAAGCAAACGCTTAGAGGAAATCACGAAAATGCAAGCAATATTAAATGGGTTAATTTCATTAAAATTCAAATAAATGATCATTACAGCTACCTTTCGCAAAACAGCATCATTGGGGGAAACACTGAAAAATACTGGGGCAGGGGGGGAAACAAATAAAGCGGAAAGGCAAGAATAGATCCTCCTGGCAACATCTTATTCCCAAGAGATTCATTCATCAAGCTTTGGGTCTGTGGTAAGTAACAGATTACATCCCGAAATTAATACAGCACTGCAAAAAATACCAAAGGAAGCCAGGCTGTACCCTAAATTAACTATTTTCACAGATTCTAATTTTTGTCCCTTGATGGATTTCTTAACTTCCGTGAACTTCAGGGGCGAAAGCTCACCTCCCGGCCCGAGGGCAACCGCCAAGGCTCCACGCGCGGGCAATCCCTGCGAGAGAGAAAGAAGATGTGAGTCGTGGGATCCCCGAGTAATCCACCCCCCCCCCCGCTTCGCAGGCCGCTCGCCTCGCAAGGCTCACCACAGAGCATCCCCAGCAGCGCCATCTTCGCAGCCCTCAGCCAAGGACCGACCGACCGACCGACCGTCTTTACGGCAGAAGCCGGAGCAGCTGCGGATTGACCTAAAGCAGGGGTAGGCAACCTTGGCTCTTTTATGACTCGTGGACTTCAACTCCCAGAATTCCTGAGCCAGCTGTGCTGGCTCAGGAATTCTGGGAGTTGAAGTCCACGAGTCATAAAAGAGCCAAGGTTGCCTACCCCTGACCTAAAGCATCTGCCGTACGGTGCTCCCCCTTGCGACAGCACGTGAGGGAGCTTAGGGCCGGCTTTACGGCGGTGCGTGGTGACAGCTGCCGGGAGCCTCCTGGAAGCCCCAACGTGACCGCGACGCTTCCTCGGGACTCGTGCGATGGCTGCGGCGGCGTTGGGCGGCGGGGCCGCCGAGCGCGTGCTGCCCGCTTCTCCTAACTGGTACTGCAGCCGGTGCAGCGACGCTTCCCAGGACGGGCATCTCTTCGGCTTCGCGGCTCGGCACAGCCTGTGTCTCCTGGAGGTCCACGCTACCGTCCCCACCTTTTATGGTACGTGCCTTGGGCTGAGACTCAGCAGGCAAGGTCTTCCTCCTCCACCACCACTACCACTACCACAACCACAACCACCCACCAGCCCCTCTGTGTTGCCTAAGCCCCTTTCTTCTCTCGGGGCGGTCCTGGGAAAGAACAGCAGTTGCCGTTTCCCGACTTAAAAGCCAGAATAGCTTCCTTTCTCGTCATCCTTGGTGGATGGCGACCAGGTGGGAAAGCTTTCAGCCGACTATCTGCCTAGTTTTCCAATTGTGACTATCTGCCTAGTTTTCCAATTATGAAGACCAGCCTTCTGGGAGTATATCGCTCCAGTGTACTGTTTTAAGACCATTGTTACGTCTTGGCTCCCCTGCGACTAAATTTAGTTATAGGGTTAGCTATAGAGAGAGAAAAAGGTAAATAGGTCCATTTTACAAACTTACTCAGTAACCCCTGTTAATCTCACCTGAAGTATGCTCTGTACGAAGGAGCAGTGCATTACTTGTTATATTTGGTGAAGGGAGCATAACTGTTTATATTTGGGAAACACTCAGCGTGGGTTCACCCATGCTTGCGTAGAAATCTCACTATGTACTGGTATCAGCAGTAGGCTTTGTCCTAACTTCTTGCCTATTTCTGAATTGAATTCAGAGTTCTGGCAGAGAGCTTACAAACTTGAAGCCAAGGGATTGAGAAAAATATAATATGCCACACATACCTGGTCAGAGTCTATCTGTGTCCAAAGATCCACTTCTTATTTCTTGTCTGAGATGGTATAGGATAGGTCCTCCTGCTTGTGCAGGGGGCTGGACTAGAAGACCTCCAAGGTCCCTTCCAGCTCTATTCTATTCTATTCTATTCATTCCTATTCCTATTCCTATTCTATTCTTATTTCCCCTACCAAATAGAATGAGGTGGATGGCCATAATAGAAAGGGTTTCATCATTTGCACAGGTTCTCCTCAGGGCTGTGTCTTAAGTCCGCTGCTGTTCACCCTGTTGACCCATGACTGTTGTGCTAGGTTTGCCACCAACCATACTGTGAAGTTTGCAGATGATACAACAGTAGTGGGCCTTATTCAGGATGACAAGGTGGAAGCTTACCGCAAGGAGGTTGAAGGGTTGGTGAACTGGTGTAAGGAAAAAAGCCTAGTTTTAAATACCGGAAAAACCAAAGAGATCATTGTTGATTTCAGAAAAGGCAGGCATAGCCACACTTCTCTGTGCATAAATGATTCACCTGTGGAGATGGTTACCAGCATCAAATTCCTGGGTGTGCAGCTAACAAGTAGGCTGACTTGGTCGCTCAACAGTGAGAAACTGGTGAAGTGGGCACAGCAGCGCCTGCATTTTCTGCACCACATGAGAAAAGCACAACTTCCTTCCCCTGTCCTGACCACTTTCTACAGGGGGACAATCAAGAGCATCCTGTCATACAGCATCACAGTCTGGTTTGGAGGCATCACTGCTTCAGACAGGAAGGCGGTGCAGAGAGTGGTGAGAATGGCCGAAAAGATCATTGGCAGTTCCCTCCCTCCCATCCAGGACAAAGCACAGAAGCGCTGCTTGAGCAGGGTCCGCAAGATTATCTGGGACACTACACATCCTCTTCACGACCTGTTTTCCTTGTTACCTTCTGGGAGGAGGCTTCGTGGTATCCGAAGCAGAACATCCAGATTCAGCCAGAGTTTCCATACAGCATTAACATACAGCATTCCATACAGCATTAACCTTGCGAACTCTCAAGCTTCCTCTTTCCGTTATATATTCAAGATAGACAATATTTAATATTTATTTGCTACGTATATGTAGGGATGTGGGTCTATACATACGTTGTTCATAGTATGTTTAGGTGTGTGTCATGTATGTATTTCACTTTGAGACAGGGCAACTAAATTTCATTTTTGATGTGTGCCATTGTGCCCACAGTATAAAAATGACAATAAAGGTTATCTTATCTTATCTTATCTTATCTTACAAAATGTCTTGCCCAAAAAGGCTGCCTCTTGTCAAATTAAGATAGTCTTCCTATCCCATCTATTGTGCACATTTTGCTGTTTACTTTCCTACCTTTAAATGTTTTTATTATATTGAGCTGATGTCTTAAAATAATTTGAATGCAAATTATTCCTTTAGCTGGGAATTAGGAATGTTAATTGGGATAAAATTGTTCAAAATAAGAGTTGACCTATTTTACAAGTCTAATATATTTTTCACTGCAGGGGAATTAATAGGCCACACTGAAAGAGTTTCTGGCTTCACATTTTGCCCCTATCCTGGGCAAAACTACTATTGTGCCAGCAGTTCTGATGATGGAATTGTGAAAATTTGGAACGTCCAAACATTGACTGTCATGATGGAACATACACTACATCAGGTAAAATGCATTGGAAATGGTAGTTCTTGATCACTTGTTAGGTTGTGATGCACATTTTATTATATTCTGGAGCAAAACATCACTGAAATCTTTTTTTAGAGAAATATGGAATTAAATATTTATCAAGATTTGTACTGTGTATACATTGTCTGGATGGTAGACTGTGAGATAGTGTGAAAAAATATTATTATGGGTGAAAGAGGGGGAAGCAGAGAGGGGGCAGCCGGGATCACCCGTAAAGTATCTTTTCTTTTGTGTATTGATGTTTTGTATTTATATGCATCAAGTTTATGTTTATATTTTGTTATACTTGAAAATAATAAAAATTTAAAATATATATATATATATTATTATGCAGTCTGTTTATTTTATTTAATCCTGCTACTTGTCTTTCTTCTTCTTTGTTCTTTCTAATTTTCATATCTCTTGGGTGCATAGATAGGCACTTCATAATGAAGTTATATTTTCCAGATGAAAGCTTTTATTTGATACCAATAATGATAATTCTAATATCCTATGAGTAAATAAAGGTCTATATGACACTTTTATTGTCAAATAAATCAGTTCTCATCTTTATTTACATGTGATTGGATTATGACTAATCCAATTAGTCTTTAAGATGTAATATGGTTTTTATGAAATGTTTGGAAAATGTGTTTTCTTAATTTCTTTCTATAAAGTACTCCTGAATTATTTAGCACTCTAGTAAATAGCTGGTCATTACTTCAAGAAAGAAAGAGATAGAGATCATTGTCTCAGTTTCCACCTTGGAAGAGATATGGAACATATGTTATTAACCTTTGGTTATTAACCAGTGGACCCACTGGACTCTGGAAGTAACTGAGATAGTTTGCAAATTTAAATTCTGGCTTTTTATATTTGAGTGTTGTACAAAACCTCAAAAAATATCAACATTTAATTTTCCTTTTAATTGTGCTGGTTTTTTTTCTCTAGAATACGATTTCTGCATTGCACTGGTCACCCAGAGTAAAAGATCTAGTTGTATCTGGTGATGAGAAAGGGATAGTGATTTGTTACTGGCATAATCGAAATGACAGTCAGCAATTTTTTCCAGAACCTAGAACTATATTCTGTCTCACTTGTTCTCCTCACCATGAAAATCTGATAGCTATTGGGTAAGGACCAAATGTTTATATATTTGATATATTTTATAATACTATATACTAATACATGAGAAAGCAGTTGAAATAAGTGTTGTTTTATCAGTGGTGTCCATTTCACTGATGAGTCAGATTCTCCCTCATTTTTTGCATATGGCCTTCTGAATCTGCTTCAAACATTTAGATCAGATCAGATCCTCATATCTGCAGGCAAACTGACACAAAATCATATAGAAGAGTCAGGGAAAGAGGGACAAAACACCCCGCATTGCTATACTTGTCCTATAGGCTTGTCCATCTTTTGCATAGGTAAAAGTTGGAACAGCAAAATTGTTCCAGGTTTCAGTTGATTGAACTGCAAGCTGCTTTGTTAGTTTGAACTAACTAATGAGTTCAAGTAATTTGTTTGAGGTTTTGAAGCAAAATACAATGTCCGTGTTGTGCATGCCCTATTGTTAAGACTTTAAAATGTGGAAAACTTTCAGGGAGAATATTTTCATTAATAACAAGCAAAAATATTCTGTTACTAAGTTATATTCTCATCTACATTGAGAATACAGGATCTAGTTTTCCTTTGGAGATCCATTTAGTTATTTTGGAAGAGAATAACTGGTTCAAAGTTACCCAGCTGGCTTTGTATCTAATGCGGGTCTAGAATTCACAACCTTCCATTTTTAGCCTGGTGCCTTAGCCACTCAACAAACTGTTCTGTCAATGCTAAAAAGATTAATACTAGGAGAAAACGAGGTGTGTGTGTGTTGGTTTCACAGTGTTTATACCAAGTGATGGATTAAGTTGTTGAATACAAATTATTTTATTTCCTTCTGTTTCAATCCTATTATTAATTTTGTAGTGCTATCAGAGGATATTACTCTATACATTGTGGGAGTTAAAACTTCTAAGGGTAAAAATGTTGGTTATGTCAGCAACCAGCACTCAGTTACAGAGCTGACAAGCAGAAGACAAACGGTTTGTTAAAGAAAGGGAGGAAAAATAAATGCAATAATCACAGAGCC